TAAAGTTGAAATTAAAAAGGATAAGTATTGATCTGGTTCTCATTTTTAATCTTGGACTCTATCAAGATTCATTCCCCATTTAAATAGCATAATAAAACACATAGAAATGGGGGGTTGAGCAACCATCCAAACACAAACACAAACACAAACACATTGCCGTCCAATTTTTCATTCACCATTACCAGCCTACCTAATCTCCACAACCACCACCTACCATTTTTGCTGAGACCAATTTCCACTAAACCAATTCTACCATTACCTTCAATAGCTGAGCCTAATTCCTTGCAAATCCACCATAATAGACAAAAGCATTACACCTTAGTTTCTAGCCCAATTCCCAAAAAACGCATTCCCAGCCACAATAAAAAGAGGGCAACAATTAATAAAGAAAGCAATTGGCCAAAAAACCACTTTCTTTACCATTTGCCAAGAAATAATCACCATCCCAACTATTCAGTACAAGCCTTCAACAATCCTAATCTTAACCAAAACCTGTAATCACCCAATAACCATTGATAATAAAATTTTGCCTATAGTATGTCCAACTCTAGACTTAACAGTTATCATCACACCAATAATTCAGCCTAGACTCTATCGAACCCATATACCTAGGAATTTCATCATCACACCACACCTAACAATCGACCATACCAACAACCACAGAGCATATACACTCGCCAATAAAAAAAATCAAAAAGTAGCAAAATTGAAAAAACCACCTTCAACTAACTCTCAGCAAATAGAAACACAATCCAAAAATGCCACAATCAACCTAAGAATGAGGTGCTATTTGAAACCAAAAGAAGGAGACAAACACCAGAAAAAATGTGAGAAGAGGATTTTTTTTTTGTGAAAAATAGAGAGGCCAACAAGTGATTTTTAGTTTTTTTATTCTAACCTTGAGCAATAACAGAAGGTAATGGTGGTCGTGACCCATGTTGTTAGTGATAACGCACGACAACAACATTAACTAAGGCTAATAAGAATTCAAAAACCTGGGTTAGGTTTCTTGAGAGCAAAGAAATAGGAATTTGAGGCAAGAAAAAAATAAAGAAATAAAGGAGAAGATGAATTTGGAAAGACAATTACCTGGGTAATTTTTGGTCATTAGCAACAACAGTGATTGGCAACATTCTGTCTTTGACAACATAGGGTGAATGGCATGGTAGAAGGTTGACAGAATCTAGGTCTTATGTGTTTTCCAGATGTCGGTGCTTTAAGGACTAGAGAAAATTTGATAACTTTGGCTTTTAAAGAGAGAAAAGAGTTTTTGCTTTCATATAAAATGATGTGCATTTAAGAAGGAAAAGAAAAGTTTTGGACCAAAGCCTGAATTGATGCTCGAGCCCAAATAGATGCTCCAATCTAGACTAAAACCTTATGAGTCTAAACCCATTCGACAGGGGATTTCAAGCATGATTCAAAAAGTTAGCCTAAATCAATTTTCATCTAGGTCTTAACCCAAATTTTGGTATTATATTTTCTTTTTTATTTTTAGTTTTAACATTTATTTATTTATTTATCCATTTTTATTTTCTTTATTTATATTTATATTGTTAGATTAAGGATATGTTTTTATGATTTTAAAAAAAATTGTTTAACAATTAAAAGATAATAATTTGGATAAAAATATTTTCAATTATGAAATTATTCTAGTCATGAAATTCTAAAAATCATGAATCAGTGATTTTCTTAAAATTTTCCAATTGAGATGTTCTACCCTAAATATTTCCAAAAAGATGGAAATTTTAGATGAAAATTTCAAATATAACAGTAATTTACAAAAAAAAAAATAAACATAACAAGAATCTAATTTTTAAAAATAATCAAAAATTATTTTAATGATGAAATTCCAAGAGATCAAGAACGGTCGATTCTCTAAAATTTTTAAATGAGAACGATATTTCTAAATTTGGCTCAAATAGTTAAAAATTTAGATATATTTTCAATACAATAAAATTTATAAAACTTATAAAACAAAGAATAAATTTCAAATATGAAATTCTTAATAATTGCAAATGGATGATTACCTAAAAAATTTTTAAGTGAGAAAATATTTATAAGTTTGGACCAAATGGTGGAAGAATTAGATATATTTTCGATAAAGTAAAATTTAATAAAAAAAATAATTAAAACTTTTTATGATGATGAAGCCTTTTCAAGAAAACAAATAGGATCTTGAATACTCTTGAAGTGAGAAAATATTTTTAAGAATTCTACCAAATTGATAGAGAATCTTAGAAATTATTTTCAATATTTAAACATTAAACATTTAATAGAAAACCATTAGAATAAATATCCTTAGGATAATTTAAAATTTAATGGTATTGTCTTTTGGATAGGTGTGTAAGGGTGCTATAACATTTCCTATACATAATCGAACTCTCGAACCCTATTATGATTAATAGACTATAACTTATTTTTTAGGGACCTTTAGTCAAGTTTAAGATTTTCTTAAAGGGATAGATTCAACTAGGTTACCAATCGTACTTAAACAAAAAAAGATTTGTCGTAACTCTTTTAGTTGTATCTAGCAATAAGTTTACGAACTTATATGTTATGACAAAAAGTTCTACAAATGGCACCCAATTTAGAGGGAATAATGCAACCTTAGCCGTTTGACGTGATCAAGGGTGATCGGAATGAATGGCACCACTCTCTTGATTCAATTGAGGAGATTGATAACAATTGCTTTAGTAATAAAGAGGCTTATCATTAGCTATAATTCTAACTTTTTAGATCTCAAATGATCAAATGAGGAAAGCTTGAAGAGAATGAAGAGAAGAGAACTTCATTTTCAATTTTTGCAATTTACTTTTCTTGTAACTTTTCTCTTCAATGAATTTTTTCCTTGTTCATTTAGAAAGCTGTTTAGAGAGAAAATTCTTTTAATTTTCAAACAAAATTTACACTCTTGCACTTTAATTTTCATGCACTTTAATTATTTTGCAATACAATTTGAATTTCTTTAAATTTCTTGCACATTTACTTGAAATTTGCTTTATTGTTCAATGCTATTTTGGCTATTTTTAGTACTACACTACCTTTAATTTTTACATTCAAACTTTATGATTTCTTGCAATTTCTAAGTTAAAATTTTTTGCAACTCTTTATTCATTTATCTTTAAATTTGAAAATTTTACATTCAAATTCACGCTACATGTTTTTTTTAAAAACCATCAAAGTCTCAGCTAAAAATTTGGCAATAGAGGAGGTAGCAAGAGGTTATAGCACTTGTGGTGGCTTTTTTGCATGCTAGGTGGCTAGTTGATTCTTTATATCTTCTACACTTATTATTTTACTTGTTTACTTCAAGCTTTATGATTCATCGCCTTTAGTTTCATGCTTTTAATTGCTGTTAGGCTATTTTGTTTATTTAAAGCTCTGTTTTCTTTGTTTTTACCTTTAAACATGTTTTTAGTCCGTTGAGCTAGTATTTTTACATTTTGAGCTGATTTTGCTTTATGCTTTTAAAGTTTACTTGTTAATTGATGCTATTTTAGTTTGTCTTAAGTTCATTTGCTATATTGAAATGTAGGTCTAGGTTTTAATATTTGCAAATTTGAATTTCTATTTTGAGATTTAGTTTTGGGTTTATGTGTTCTTTAATTTCCTTGCATTTAATCCATGTTTTTTGGTTATGCTGCACTTAGATCTAGTTTAAATTGCTATTCTTACATTCAGTTGCACTTATATTTCATGCATTTGGCTTAGATCCATTTAATTCCTTGCATTTTACATTTGGTTCACTTCATAAAAGTTACAATTTTATGCTTTAAGTTTCAAGTTCATTTATTTTAATTACAACTTACATTCTATTTTTATTCGTTTCATGCATTAGATTACATGTTCTTTAGGTTTACTCTAATGTTCATTTGATGTTTGTTTAATTTCCTTTGCTTTAGATGTTCATTGCCTTAGGTTAATAGTAATGTAAATCAACTTTCAACATTTTGATTGAGCTAAATATAGTTAGAGTATATTAATAACTGATACTTAAACTAAACTCACTAAATGATTAGTTTTCGTGAGACGATACTTTATTTATCACTTTATTACTTGAATGGCTTGTGCATTTATAATTCCAATCAGAGACTAGGTCTAATGAGATTAGTTATTGCAAATGTGAGATTAAAATCAATAGTTGAATATTTGTTTGGATGCAAATGCAACTATGTTGATGATGTTGAAATGAAAAATGATCATCAAGGACTTTAATATAAAATGTATTAAAAATGAATTGATAAATTATTTTTATGTATATTTTAATATTATTTAAAATATTTAAAATTTTATTTTCAATCAAAATATTAAAATACATTATTTATTTATTAATTTATTATATAATAATAAAATTTATTTAGTAATTTATAATAAAATTTATTTATTATATTAAATCATTAAAAATATTTCAATATTTTTAAATAAAAAATAAAAATAGAAAGCGGCATGGAATTTTTTTTTTTTGTCTACACACTATACTTTTAAGGGGAAAAAAAAATCAAGGATAAAAAATGAAAAATGAGCTGCGATGGGATGGATTAATTCTCAGTGGACCTAAATGGTCCAGTGAAAAACTAATGGTGTGATTACTCAACTGGTGGTATCCTAATAACGTAATGGTGCCATGCTTCGCATTTTATTTTATTCATTCAAGAGGGACTTAGACGAGAATTTTGGTAATTATACTACATGTTTAAGAGTGTAATAATTTGGAGCTCGTTGTCGATTTTCACAAACTAGTCTCGATTGATGGTAAATTAGGGGCAAACGTTAATGACTTGGTGTAATATGTCATTTTTAAAGGGTTTAATTGAAAAATTAGAGAAAGTTTAAAGAATTTTTTAAAATATTTTTAACCATTTTTTTTAACTCCACAAGGCCATAACCCATTCGCACGTGCGGCACCCCTACAAACCGCATCCTTATCGCGTTTCTATTAGTCTTTCGCTCCCAATTCTGAACGTAATGCTGGTTGATTCTTGCTGTTCCAGGTTGGTTGTGTTTCTTTTCATCCAAAAATTGTCTTATTATCCTTTTCCTTCCCCTTCTGTGCTACCCATTCAATAGCCCCTGGCTCTCCTCTTAATCTTCAGTTACCCGTATACCCATGCCCCTCGTCTTCCGTCTTTCATCATTTTCAGACGCGTTGTCTTGTTATCAATTCTTCCATCTCCCTGTCCTCGCACCTTGGGACTTGCGACGGGTGCTTTCTCTTTCCTGTTTTCAGTTTCACTTCTTTCTTTCCTTTTGTACAAGCCTCCGAATCCCTTGATTTTAGGAAAGATCGCCACCGATCCGCGTCCGGGATCGTGCGATTCAATTAGGAAGTCGAATTCTAGTATCTCTGCTTTACCTAATGATATTATTTTTGTTTCAGGTATCGTTTAGCCGGGGAACTGCCACGTCGTATTGAAATTGGCTTCTATGATATGAGCCTATTCCGGCGTAATATTATAGTCTGCTGGATGAGTAGGTAATGAAGGGTTTTCATGAGAGAAATGTTGCTCTAAAATGCTCTTCTAAAGCTTCTATTGATAGCTCACCATCCTCTGGAAGTGGATCGGAGCCAGGTCCCGGTGACTCTAAGTTCTCCAAGACTTCCGTCTGGTCAAACTTGTTTGCTTCTGCTTTCTCAATCTTTGAAACATATAGTGAGTCGTCATCGTCGTCTGTTTGTGAAAAGAAGGCCTCGCTTGCTAAGAGCAATGCGTGGACAGCGGCTGTGAAGAGGGTTGTCTCCGGTGGTTCAATGAGGAGAATTCACGAGCGTGTTTTAGGGCCAAGCAAGATTGGAATATCTAGCTCAACTAGCGACATATGGCTTCTAGGCCTGTGCTATAAAATTTCACAAGAGGAGTCCTCTGGAGATGTGGATGCCACCAATGGATTAGCTGCATTCAAACATGACTTTTCATCACGAATATTGATGACATATCGTAAAGGTCTTTATCATCAAGTTTGATCTTTACATGATGCATGGTGATAACACGATTTCTATGTTGTTCATTTACAGGTTTTGATGCCATTGGCGACACAAAAATCACAAGTGATGTCAGCTGGGGTTGCATGCTTCGAAGTAGCCAGATGCTTGTTGCTCAGGTATATTTTCATTTTTTCTTTTTATTTTAGTTTTCTCTTGAGAATGTTCAAATAAGCACTAGGAGGCTTTGATATGACTTTTCATCATAAAAATTGACATTGCCTGTTATCTTGGGTTTATTTTATCTAGTTAATGTAGTGTTTTTCCTCCCGTGCAGGCATTGCTTATTCATCGATTGGGGAGATCTTGGCGAATACCTTTGCAAAAGGTGGTGTGAGTCATTTTCTATGCCTCCACTTGCTTATCTCCTCTAACTCATTTGAGAATTTGACTCTAATAGAACCAAAATTAAATTGTTTTCTTGTCTGACACCTTTCTGCCTATGCAGCCTTTTGATCAAGCATATATTGAGATCTTGCATCAGTTTGGTGATTCTGAGGCCTCAGCTTTCTCCATCCACAATCTTGTTCAGGCTGGAAAGATTTATGGACTTGCTGCTGGGTCATGGGTAGGCCCATATGCCATGTGTCGTTCATGGGAATCTCTTGCTCGCTGTAAGAGGGAGGAAAATGACATTGAACGCCAGTTACTTCCTATGGCTGTTTATGTTGTTTCTGGTGATGAAGATGGTGAGAGAGGAGGAGCTCCAGTTGTTTGCATTGAAGATGCTTCTAGACATTGTTTTGAATTTTCAGGATGCCAAGCCGACTGGACACCTATTCTTTTACTTGTACCCTTGGTTCTTGGACTTGACAAAGTAAATCCCAGGTTCGTGATGTTTTGATGTTTCTCCATTTTATAGTTTCATGTTTGGTAGATTCATTAGGCCTGATCCTTTGTGTAAATTAATCAAGCATGCTTGTATTTATTAGATTTCTGGTTACTGAAATTTCCTACAATCCTGTGCAATCTCCAGGACCCAGAAACTATGATTGCTAAAGCTGACAACTTCCTCTTTAAGTATTATTGCATACTGCATTGATCCACTTAGAAATGAGAAGATAGGCTTTTCTTACCCCTAGTTGATGCAAATTAATCAAATTGGCATGTTTATAAAATCTTAGGTAACAGCATTGGATCAATTCTACGTCAATTTATCATAGCATGGTGGTTGTCTCCAACTCCTGAGCTCTGACTATGATTTGGCCAACTTGGAGATGATGAGGGCTTTGGTTTAGTGAAATTTAGAGAAGAAATGAAGTGGAACTATGGAGGGAATAGGTTCTTCCCAAGTAAAGAAGTTTAAGACTACAGAAACCTTTAAAGCTTTGTGAGTGTTAAAGAGCAAATCTTCATAAGCCAATGAAAATTCTTCACCTTCTTTTGAACACCCTCTGCTGCTTACCGCAAAAGATAGATTGGAAGGTCTGAGTGTGTTTTCAACTTTTTATGCAAGAGGTGTTTGCTGCAATTGATTATTTGATTGTAGCAAAGTAATCGGTCTGGTTTATTTCAGCAAAGCATCATGCCAAAACCAACTTCTTGAAATGATTCTTGTTCTGTTAGTGGAATTATTGGTAAGATGCCACCACTGTTGGTGCACTTAGTTAGAAAATTAAGCCTTCTGTAGCCCAAAAATTATTTCTGGGTATGGACCAGTCTACTTGATTTGTTAGAATGATTTGCTTAAGTTTTATGCTGGTATCAGAAAGTAGAACTAGAATTTTAAGTTGCTATTGATAGTGTTCAATAGTGTGTTTCAAGGAATCTCAAGCTTATTTTATCCGACTTTGAGTTGCTTTGAGCTTGAAAATTAGCAATCTAAGATTACTTTAGTGGAGATCTATTCAGGTAATTCTAAGATGGCCTTGTGAAGTTTTGTGAGCTCAAAAAGTGGCTCTGTGGGGATTTATCCTGCTTTCTTGATGTTTTGCTTTTAGAGAGCACCTAACTGAATTGATGATTTATTTTCTTAGGCAAAGTTCTAGATATGGGGATTAATAGGCTTATGACTTGAGATTAAGTGAGCATGTGAATGATATCCTTCTGTTGTAGAGTATAGATAAGCAATAATAAGCACAAAATGGTGTCATTTACTTTTTTGGACTATAGTTTGTCTTTTCTTCACTATGGAGATTGATTGGAATATCTTTCTCTTTTATGTCAAATATGTTGGCCTAGTTTATATTTCAACATTCAAACACTCTCTCCATGTTTTATAAGTATGCTTGTTTTTCCATCCAAGTAGCATGATTTCACCTTATAGTTTGTTTATGATCTGGTCTGTGAGATCCTTATGGTTTTCCGGTTCCGTTGTCAATTAAGAGTAAATACTTAGTTCTGTGAATCACCGTTAGTTGTGAGGAGAAGTTGATGCCCTCATTTAACAGTTGAATATACATGATGTTATAAACAAGGATTTAAATAATGCCCGCCTTGTGGCATAGCGCCTACTATTTAGCAGTGTCATAACAGAAAATAATGGCTATAATGGGATGCTAAAGCTACTATTGATTTCTTTTATGTCTCTATTATTAGGTTTTTTTTTTTTTTTTTTTACATTCTTTTTATGAAATATAGTGACAAACCCATACCAAAACTGAGAGAATTCATACGAATCCAAACAATTCAGTCAAAATTCAACTAATTTGAGCCTCAAACCAAAATAAATGAGGGAATTAATTCAGGGTAAGAAACAAATATTCAATTCAAATTACCATTTTTATTCATAATTTTTTAAATTTAAGTTGAGGATGGTGTGGAGAGAGAGCTCTCTTACAGCTCCATGGTGATGGGCTTTAGATTGTGTTGTCTTCTCTAGTCTTGAGTCTTGAGAGATGAAAATCCTAAATGGGGAGTCTATTAGGATGTGGGTGACGTGTGAGGGTGGTTGGTTTGGGTTGGATCATGGGTGACTCTACTATTGAATGAGGAAGATAAGCGGGCAGGATCTTGGGAAAGTGGACACAGAAAAGGATTATTGCGTTGGGGAATTTCGGAGGCTTGTGTTTCATGTGGCATCTAAAAGGCAAATTTGGTTTTTCTTTTTTTCTTGTTTATTTGAAAATTTAGGAGGGAAAAGCAAATGATTGGTGGAAATTGGTATTTGAGAAATTTATTTAAGATTTAGATGAAAATTTGGGACAGAATGTAGTTGTTGATTACTGAAATATGTTTTTGTACGAGTTTTATGCATGTTCCATCCTTTAAAAAATAATTAATTTAAAGGACCATAATTTTGATATTATTAAAGTTATTCTTGATTGTAATCTCTTGTGTGTTTGATTAAGATTAGGTTGCTAACAATTATATTATTCTTGTTTAATTAATTATTTAAAATGTTGTACATGGGTATTTGGCCCAATGGTAAAGTGCATGTATTATTGTTTATGACAACAAGCTTGAATTGCCTTCCCCAATAATTATATTTTTATGAGTAAGAAATTTATTTAAAATGTTTATCCCTTATTTTTTCTAACTAAATTAAATCTTGAGCTTGACTTCATATATGCTATTTTTTCAATCATATGTATTTATAGCATTTATGTCCATAAAGTTTGTGGATATATTTGTGAACACCTTTTTAAATATGCATATTGACTTCTAAGTTATATCTAAAAAATGTGAAGAATTTATTTTATCATACAAATGAAAGAATTAGAATATCATCAATTACTTTAAATATTATAAATAAGTGTTATTATGGGTAAAATTATTATTTACTTCATTCAATGGTAAGTTGTGCAAAATTGAAAGAATTATTTACAACAACCAGTGTGACTGCAGCTATTTTATCATTTATGTCCACAACTGCAATAAATCTGACTCCACTGAAATTCGGTTGCTTTCGCAATTTAAATCTCTGGTTATAACTTTTAGCATTTGAAAAAGATTTTTATGCTTTTTTTTTCTTTCAAGTAATGTCTCCTATTTGATTTAGAGTGTAATACCCAGCTTTCTGTGCTTGTATCTGTTTATTTTGTACATATGAAAGCCCATTAGGTTTGAGCTACACCAAGGGAGGTAGTTCTCTCTCATTCCTTAAGTAAACCCGATCCTCCTCTCCCAAAGATGGACCTGAGACGTCTGGGAAGAAATCTCAACTTCAACTGTTCAAGTGTCACCTAAGTGCATGTCTCTGTTTCTTTCATACGTGTACTTCTTGCTACATAATGAAAAATTGCATTCAGCTTTTGGAGTGCTTGTTAAGATAATAAATTTTCTATTCACTTTATTCAGGATGTGGAGATTTTAGGATGTTTCTTGACCTACATTTTAGTGTTTGTTCTTTTTAAAAAGCAAGTTCTCTTGACCAGATAAGAAACAAATTTTATGTTCACTTCATTCCAAAATTGTTGGTCACATTTCTATTTTGAAGTGTGAAAAAAAATCCACAATAAAAAGACTCAAGGATATTTTCTAAAAGACCTCCAACTTTACCACAACCATTATGTTCCGATCTTCATTTTCTTTGAAGTACCTATGTCCAACACCCGTGTCCGACACGTAGTCGGACATGGGTACGAGGGTAATATCCTCTAAATATATGGAAAATCTTAGAAAAACTTGAGTATATCCCTGTTGGACACATACCTGTATTTGATACTCACTCCCCAAGTCCAAGTAACGTAGCAGCCAATAAGAGCTTGTTCAAGAAAGAAAAAAACTATAATGGTAAAATGGGCACGGGCACATGGTGTTATCCATGTGAATGCATTACAGCTTTTCTTAACAAATGAGCTTTACAAAAAAGGTGACTGCTTATGAAACATGCACTATGCTTCAATTTAACTTGAAATAACAAATTATTACTCATTGTTTGTCCTCACAGAAACAAGTAGCATTATAGTAGTCAATTATGAAATTTGAACTTGATACTGCCATATATTCTAACCACTTGGAATTCCTTAAATTTATTATCAGGTACATTCCATCATTGCAAGCAACATTCACCTTTCCGCAATGCCTTGGCATTTTGGGTGGGAAACCTGGCGCCTCAACTTACGTTGTTGGAGTTCAAGATGAAAATGTTTTCTACCTTGATCCACATGATGTTCAGCCGGTAAATTCATCGATTGCTTTATATTATCACTCATATGTTCCATTCTCTTATTCTTTTAGTTGTGATATAAGTACATAGCTTATCTTGGAAACTTCTTTTACTTGTTTGGTTTAGTGCTGATGAATGTCGTCTTTCTTCATCACGACTGTGTTCTGGAAATCATTTATTTTGGCCACTTATGGGAGTAATATAAGTCTTTATCTAAACTTAACATATTTTTTAAGTCAGGGAATTGATTGGTAACTTTGAATTCCTAAATCTGGGTAATTCATCCACAGGCATGATAGTGAAGAGGGTTTGAGAATTAGGCTGTGTTTGATGCACAAGATTATGATAAGACAGGATAAGATAAAATTATGAATAGGATTAGATTAAATAATATCATCCTATCTTGTGTTTGATGTATGTAAGGATTAAGATAAGATAATTTATTTATTAATTAAAATTATCTTTCCTCAAAGTTTATACACTTTAAATTATTGATGTAATTTTTAAAGGTATAATAGGACATATAAGTTCAATCCCATAGACTAAAAATAATCCTCTCCACTTTGGGAGGATTGAATCATCTTATGCCAAAAGGATGATGAATCCTCCTTGCAATCTTATCCCTTTTTTTAGATACAAATCAAATATGGTATATGATGATTATTATCCTATGCTATCCATCATACTATGCACAAAACATGGCCTTAGTTTCTAAAAGCTTCTACAAGCTGATGTACTGCTGAAGTAGAAACAATAAAAAGAAACCTTAACCAAGGGTAAAATTGATATGAAATAGAAATCGGAGAATAAAATGGTTTTAGGGTTGTAAAACCTTAACATAACCAACTATAAATGGTTGCTTAATGTGTCTAGAAGAAATCCGACCATAAATGGTTGCTTAATGTGTCTAGAAGACTATTTATACTAGAGTTACAACAGCTTTTAGTCCTAGCCCTTAAATACTTATTTCTGGCACACTGGTCATTTCTTGTTGCTGTCCTTTTATCTCATCTCAAGGATTATTGCTCTCATGTTTGAAGTAAGAGTTACATTCTCTTGTGGCCCTTTTGGCTAAAGAGGAGCTTGGCAGTGCATTTGCATTTTGCAGTGTCAAAAAGTGCTTTGGCCCCTAATGCAATGCTGAACGCATGTTGCTTTGGCTCTGAATTTGCTTTTTGACAGCACTCTTGGAGCCAACCACAAAGGCATCTCTAGGGCAATTTTGAAGATGAAATTATCAAAACCCCCATTTATATTTTTTTGAACGACAAATTACCACTTTAATTATTTAGATATTTTAAATTAAAATGAAAATATAGTAATAATATGACTTTTTAATTTCTAGTTTGAAGCAATTTTAATTTTTTTGGAAAATCTAAAAATTGTATTTTATGTACTTTTTTAAAATTAAACTTCACAATAATTTATTTTTTGGTATATGTTAACAATAATTACTTAAAATACAAGAAAATGACTCATTCTTCACTTTTCAATATGATATTCTTCATAGACATTTTACCTTTGCATAGCAATTTCTCACAACTCTTTTCAAACATGCTTTTTCCACCCCGAGCTTTTTTCAATTGCAATAGCAATGCAAAATTAGGCTTAAAGCTTCTTGCAAGACTATATTCAAATGTGCTTTTGAGTTCTGATGGTATGTTGGCTTAATCTTAATTGGGTCAATCAAATTTGGGAGTTGTAGTGACACTGAATTGTTTATCAGGTAGTTAATCTCAGTAGGGATAACCTGGAGGCTGATACATCATCTTATCACTGCGAGTGAGTACCTTTATCTAATTAATGTACTTATAAGTTTCGCATACATTGCTCTTCTTTTTTTCCTAATTTTGTTCTTCCTTGTATGGTCTTAGTATTATACGACACATTTCTCTGGATTCAATTGATCCCTCTCTGGCAATTGGATTTTTCTGCCGTGACAAAGGTTTGTGTGTTAATCTTGTTGGTTAATACAATTTTACCTGTCCTAGGTTTGGACCAGGCTACTTGTTGACGATGAAATGAACTTACTCTTTCTTCCCTGTTCTTTCGGTAGATGATTTTGACGATTTTTGTGTCCGGGCATCCAAACTAGCTGATGAATCAAATGGTGCTCCCTTATTCACTGTTGCTCAAACTCATAGTTTTATTAAGCCAATTAGGCATGCTGATGCTGGTGAGGTTCGAGAGAATGATTCCTTTGGTGTAGTGCCGATAGGTGACATGGATGGTAGCAGTCATGAGGATGACTGGCAGCTCCTTTGATAGGAACTTTCTATATCTTCCACTGGATTGTATACACAACTCCTTGGTTCCTCCCGTTGGAAGAACCACGATTACAACGTGGGTGATTCTGTTTATTGTCCATTGACAACATTTGTAGGTAGTGTTTAAGTTATACGATTCTTTTCCCCTGAATTTTAAACTATTCCAAGCTGTTAATATAACTGACTAATATTGATTTGTAAGATACTTGCGAATATTGTTCAATTTTATTTGGCAGACAACAATGTGCTGCTGATTTTTCTATTACAATGTTATATGTTTGTACTTTTTGGCTTAATGCAAAGATATTGTCGTTAACCTTGATCCAAAAGTTTGGTACAATGAAACTTATCTACAGGCAAAGTGGATGGGCAACAACTGTCAAAGAGGATCTTAGTGGATGTCATTTTGCTGTTTGAAAAGTTTGTGGCTGTCACATAATAGGAGGATAAAGATAGGGCATAAGTGGGATAGAAGGAAATGCCGAGGAGGGGAAATTTTGGGTAATGTGATATAAGTAAATGTGGAGAGGAGAATCAATAAGAAAGAAAAAGATAGGGCAAAGGAAATTTTGGAGGAATGGTAAAAAAGGAAATTTTGGAGGAATGGTAAAGAAGGAAATGGCACGTGGGTAGAGCGTAAATTCAAACTGAGTTGATTAGTGAAAATTATTTGTAGCAATTCGAGTTGATTACGAATGATAGCTTTGTAAAAAAAAAAAAAAAAAAAACAGAAAAGAATTATTGACTATACCAGTCAAACTAAAAAAAATTGAATTAAAAAATTTTTAAACTCGAAAAATCTAATCCAAGATAATTTGAAGTTAAAAAACTGTAAAATTAACATTATCGGAATGCATATTTTATCTCATAATGATTTGATATTATTTCAACTTAAAAATTGTAAAAACATGAATTTATGATAAAAACATATTAATAATTACTAAAAAGATATTACTTGTTGTCACGGGTCATTTTTTTTTATTTTATCATCTCTCTTCATCTTTTTTTCTATAAAATTTATCTAATTAAAAAAGATGAGAAATTAAAAAACAAACGAAAATCACTTGGATACCTTAATTCACTTTTTTTTTCTCATAAAATTTATCTCCTAAAAAAATAAAACCCCAAAAAAAAAAAAAAAAGAAAAGAGTGGAGAAAGGGGAAAGAAAAAAATAAAAATAAAAATAAGAAAAAGAGCTCATGTGTTAATGTCAGTAATTCTTTTTTTCATTCATTGATAAAGACAACAATCATCTTGAATGCATTAAGCAATTAAAGCGGCATATTCCTCAATCCAAAATTCATCCTCTAAAGAAGATAAACCATGCTTTGCTAATTTATGCGCAACCATATTCCCTGTACGCATGATGTGTGATAAGGAGCATGCATGAAACGACTGTTTATTTTTTTATATATTTATTAATATTTTTTGTTGTATATTTATTATTATCATTATCATATATGTATATATTTTATTATTTATATATTTATATTTCTTTAATTATTTATATTTTATGGGTACATTACTTATATATTTATTGATATAATTTTTTGAAATAAAAAACATGTAAGACTTTTACTTCCCGCAAGGAAGTGCGGACATTCATCTAATTAGTTTTAATTTGATAGCTACTACACCTACCATCAACGTGTTGCAAGAAATCCATATAGTTCATACAGTCTTTGTCTAGGCATCTTTTTCTAGTCCATGCGTAATTTTTGCAAAGTGATAAAGTCCAAATACCACCAATCAGGTACTTGACAGCTTGGAAAAGTGCTATGATCTTTTTCGTTGGCCATCCTTTAGTTTTTGACTTCCCAATGATTTAGGTACTTCAAAGATATGCTGATTATCACCATTAATAGAACTAATTCAATTTCTTGTTTATAATTTCATCTGCTGGGTTCTGATTTTAATTAGTCAAGGTTTATAAAATTTATTATTATTATAATCATTTTACTTTTAGTTTTTAGTAAGAATGTCTTTTTATTTATTTAATTAATTGAGAGGTATTTCAAAAAAACAATATATTCAATATTGGAGCAACCACGTTGCACTCAAGAAACTAATGAACAAAGCTCAAAGTGGTGATATTGAAATTGATTTAAAAACTTTTATCACAGATTAAGGACTTGATTCAGAATTTATAAGCATATAGTTCATATAAGTAATAAGTAGATATTGTTCTCATAAAGATTGTAAATTGAGTGATTTAAGTATTGAAATTGGCTAACTTTTTTTATATTCGGAGAAATCAAAATAGAGATGCAATTACTTATTAAACAATCAAAACATAATGTAAAAATACAATTAAACTTACAAACATGAAATAATAATGAATTACTATGAATTTAAACCTAAACTAATGCAAACAATAAGTAATTAAGTGAATTAAGATGCAAACTATTAAAATTAATCTATGCTAAACTTATCACCAAGTTAATATTACAAACTAAGCATGTAAAATCAATTCAAACTTGTATCAACTCTAAGCGCAACCCTAACTTTGCAAACTAAATGCTAAAACTGAAATCAAGAACTAAACTCATGAATGAGCTAATGCAACAACCTAAATAAACAATTAAATATGCAAATATGACAAATTAACAAAGAACCGAATAAGCAAAGAGGAAATAACCTTGAATCGAATTTAACTTATGCTTCAATTAAACTTAGACCTAAGCAATTTATTTAGTTGAACATGAAATAAACAAAAACTGAAGGAAACACAAATAACAAATTCAAAGTAAACTGAATTAAATATGAAAACATGCAATTGCTATAGATAAAACTTGAAGCTCAACAATCTATTCAACTAATTAACATTCAAGATTACTAAATCAAAACTTATCATCTTTAATTAAATCAATTAGATTACTTATTAAACCTAACAGTATGCAACCAACACAAATTAAATTTATCTAACCCTAGTTAATCCTAAAACATGAAAATTAAACCAATTGAACATTTGTTGAATTAACTTAACCCTAAGAACATGCAATAGAATCAAAGATGTAGTAACTTAAATCAATACAAAACTAAAGGTGTATAACTCAAAACTAATATGAAGAATCAAAGCATGCAATTATGAAATTAAGAGGAAACCAGAAGGTAAATCGCATGAATGAAGAATACTTAAGCCAAAAATGTAATTAAATTCAAACAAGAATCATTAATGTAATTAAATGTAAACAAGAACCAGAAAACTAATTGAACAAGCTTGAACCAAGAATAATAAACCAGAAAGCAAATGAAATTATCCCAATAACAAGAAACTAAATTGAAAAGCTTAGAAACAAAACTTGGACAATCTGGAAACTTAAAATAAACTTGCATAAACTAGAATTAAACTAAAAAAGAGTTTAAGAACATAAAAAATTAAAAGAAAGCAAGAAAAAGATGAATAACTAGAGAGATCGGTTTGTTACCCCAATCATGTTTTTCATAATGCCTAAAAATAAGTATTTATAGACAAAGAACTCCAAGATAGTTTCAGCAGTCATGGATTCTAATGTAGCAGACTTTTTGGTTTGATTAAGGCAAACTGCTTGAATGGAAGAAGTTTTTTTGAAGAGAATGTTAGTTGGATTGTAGTGGAACTTTTCAAATAAAGTCTTCTAGGCTCAATCTTGGCTTCTAGATAGTAAGTAGCTATTGCCTTTTCTCTTTTTGATATGTTTCACTTCTTTAAAGAGGACAAGATAAGGGTTTTTGTAATGTTTGAAGAAAAGAAGAATGGGTTAGTTTTATCATCTTACATACTTTCTAAAAATTCGAAAGTTGAATGTTCTTGGGCTCTTTCTTGCTTGCATGAAGTGAGCTTCTTTCTTAAAGACTTCTTGGAGAATGTTTCTTCAAATAGAACTCTTTAATTTCCCATTATGAATTTGTTTTGCCTCCCTTCTTCTTTATTTAGCCTTTATATTCATGCAAGTCCTCTTATGATTAGGAATAAGTGTAATCCAAGTATAAATAGGAATTCCAAATCAAGGTAGGAAAACCAAGGGTTGTTTAAACTTTTCTAATGTGAATAGAATTGCCATTTCATCATGCCACATAAGCCACCAAGTCCTCTTTCTTGGCTAATGAGAAAAGACTTGCTACCATGTCATCCATTAGTAATCCCATGCATTGTGCAGTACATAAACTATCATGGATATGCATCCAACTTAAAACATTAAATTTGACATTCACCATAGCCAAACATGCCTTACTTCTTTCTTGCATGAATTTTCTAATTTGTTCATCAAGATTGAACAATTCTAACTCTTCTAAGTTGGTTGAATTTTGTCTGAAAACATTTTTAACATAATTGACTTAAGCTCATTTGTGAATATAGGCCAGAACCATTAATATAGAACCATTACGTAAACCCTTTAGAAGGACCATTTACAACCTATAAAGAACCCACAAATTAGCTCATTTGGAGGCCCCAAGTCAACTTGGGTCAAATCCAATTAAACTTAGTTAATAAAGTTTAAAATAGTCAAACAAAGTCAAAATTGTACAAAACTTAGTCAAAATGGATAGAACTCGGGTTAATTCTCAACATTCACAACCTAATTGGAATCAATGTGGTTCAAAAGTTAAAATTGTTGATTTTTAAAGCATTAAAATTTTTATTGCACTTAGAAAATTACAAAAGTACTAAAATGCCCTTTAGGGGTATATTCGTAATTTGTCTTTCCCGAGCTTAGATTTTCATGAAACTTTTTAGATTTTGCTTTCATAATATTTCATGATTTTTGATGCATTTGAAATCACATCAGTACCTCAAGAGGTGAGAAATTAAAAAAAATACCCTTTTAAGGGTATTTTCGTAATTTTACCAAAGTACCTTGAGAGCTATTAAATTACCAAAATACCCTTTAAGGGTATTATCATAATTTGACCTTTTCGAGCTTGAAATTTAATGAAAATTTATAGATCTCAATTTTATAATATTTTATAATTTTTGGTACTTTAAAATCTCGAAAATGAGCATAGGAACATTGATTTATATAAAAATAGCTTAAATATTGAAAACCTTATACTAAGGGTAAAATGATCTATTCATTTGGTTTAGGGGTTATAAAAATATAATCTTTGTAGTGAATAAAGTGAACCATTAGATCTTTTGTTGAATCTTGATCCAATGACTAAAGGTTGCTCTTTAAAAAAAAAAGAGAGGAACTTTGGCCCTTGTATGAGATTTGATCTAATGGCTATAATTCAATATTGGATAGATATTTTGTCTTCAACTTCTTCAAGAGGGGTAGATT